TGCGTGTCACCGCGCCCAGCCGCGACCCCGGAGCGCGGAGCCCTCGCCGGGGACCCGCGCGCCTTGGGCTGCCTTTCTCCCTGCCCGCCCCCAGTTCTTTGGCCAAAACCTTTGACCAGAGTCTCCTTGCCAGCATTCCTAAAGCTCCTATGCCAGCTCTCTGCGCCAGGTAGGAATCAGGTTGTGCTTTAGCGGTGTGTATAGAAACATCCATTCCCAGAAGCTGCACGACCTTTTCACCTTCCCCACGAACTCCTTCGGAGGGCGTCCGTGGGCATTTATCCCCCTCCAGGGCCTGATCTGTGACCGCAACCTGTGTGTTCCCTGAAATGCCCTTGCTATTCACGTCTGCATACGCCTCCCGCAGCAGTTCCCGGAAAGCCCTCGGGGACGGAACTGGGGGGCATCCAGCAGACGGTGAGGACGCGCCAGCCGGGAGGCTGGGGTGGGCAGGAGCCCGGGGCTGGCGTGCCTGTGGCCGGGAGCGGGCACTGTGAGGGCTCTGCAAAGAGCACCCCGTCCCGCGCCACTCTTCTCCCTCCCTCGGGATGCACGGAAACAGGCGCCACCCGACCCCTAATTTCCAACTCTCCGCCCCCGCGCCCCCAACACCTGGCTCGGATGCAAGGCTGGGCGGGGTCGGGCGGCGGCCGCCCGCTGGCTGGAAGGCGCATCGCCTCCCACCCCCTGGTGTCCCTTCTGCCCCAGAGGAGAGGGCACCAAACCTCGGAAACAATGAGGGCCGCAGCGCGCGGAGGGCACCCGGGCGCGACTGATGCGGGGCAGGGAGGCCGTGTGGGGCTGCAGCCCGGCCTCGGCTTCACATGGCAGCGACCCTGCCGCCCCTCCAGCCCGGCCCTCCAGTCCCGACCTAGAGCGTCCAGGGGCGCCCGGCTGCTCCCGGCCACAAGTCTCAGGCTGGCACGGTGGGGAGTGGCCGGGGGCTGACCCAGCGCTTGGAGTTGGCGAGAAGCAGCAGCCACCTCCCGGGCGCCCCGCACGCCTCGGCGGCGGGATCGTCGCCTCCGCGAGCTCCCCCCACCTCCTCCCCCACCCCCCACCGGGGGTCCAGAGCGTGAACGCCGAGGAAGGCTAGACCCACCCCGTGGCCGGCATCGATGTCCCCCTCCTCAAACACACCGCCCCACGAGCCCTGGGCGCAGACCCCCAGCGCTGTCCTCCCGGTGGAGATCCCTGCAGCAGGGCCTCCGGGAGAGACAGACAGACGGACGGGGACCGCACGCCGAGGGAAACTTGTTCCTCCCCGTCTCCTGTCAGGCAATTACTGGCGAGCCTGTGCGGGGAGAGGGGAGGGAGGAAGCGAGGGAGGGCCCCGGCGGGGGAGGGGAGGACGGGGCGCAGTTGGTGAAAGTCCTCTGCCTCCCGCTCATCTCTTCATTGCTCGCGCCTCTCCTTCCCGCAGACACCCCTGACCGCCCCTGGGCGCCAGCTCCCGGCTCCAACGGGTCCACAGACAAGCCGGATCTCTCT